AGATAACAGTTACCAAATATGGTCAAGACCTTTGACCTGTGACTGATCAGTTAATGAGTCTGTTCTTTATTCTACAAACTCAGATACAAAACAAAGATAAAACTACCATTTATATGTGGACAGGAGGATGGAGTGCTAAGCTATCCACTGAGGCTAGCAGTCTGGGTAGGAAGCTGCATCCATAAACTGTATGTGTGCAACCCACACACACATAACAACTTCTAAGTTTAGCAGGAAGCTGTTGTGTCAGCAGTTTCTGACACTTTTGTGTAGGCTTCATATTTCTGCCCTGGACATTACTGCTTGGTCAACATTATAGTTTAGAGGTGAATGATTGGCTCCTCCGGGGAGCCTGAGCGTGCTTCCTCATTAGTCAAACGGGAATCTGCTGGTGAACTGCTAATAAGTTTTGTGTACTTTTAAAAATGTGGCCTGATTTTGGAACTTAACGACAGAAGGACTTAATCTCTTGAGATGAAACCCGCAGTGATAGATATCTGACACGAGTCATCATTCGTTTGTTGATTCACTCAGATGATTAAAAAGTTGGTCTGTTGCTGTGGTTTTACTGTACAAGAGTTACATGTGTACTTAATAATGACACAAAGATATTTAAGATATGCTCACAAATGAATCAATTCTGTCTTTTCTGGCTGACATAAAGGCACACTGCACGCTGTTCACTTTTACCAGTAGCCTTTTGATGGTAGGTCAGCGCTGTGTTATTGAAGCTTTTGTGTGGATGCTGTATTGTTTGACTGGGCGGGAGGCCGGGGTGGGGGGCGGGATTGTGCATGTGTGTGTGTGTGCTGACATGGACCTTCTGTGATGGCTTTCAGCTGGATGGATGATGTGGTACTGAGGACAGTGAGAGGAGAGTGGAAGAGAAAAACAGGGTGAAGGAAGATTTTAAAAACACTCATTAAACAAACGAAGCACGCGGCGAGACGCACGGCTGACTGAGATGGACTCGAAGACACTGAGACAAACTTGGGATTATCAGTAAGGGATCATCAGAAGAGGAGTTTCTCAAACATGGACTAGTCTGGGAGCGTGCACATATATAGACAAACACACACTCACCCTCATACATTCGCACACTCTGTTCCCTCGTGAGAGGCCTTGGAAGCGGACAGGTGCCATTATGCAGGAGTCTCCAGGTGCGGTTGGTGTGGATGGCAGCTACACTAGTAATGTTCCAGCCTTTCTAACTAAGCTGTGGACCCTGGTTGAGGACCCAGACACCAACCACCTTATCTGCTGGAGTGCCGTGAGTCACATCTACATTAATATTAATGGTTACTACTTAATATTAATTTTTAGTACAGTATATATAAGAAGTGAATATGGCATAGGTTGTCTATGAGAGACTGACCAGCTTGTTAAAGCTCTGGGGAAACTGTTGAAGCTGATGTTGCAGCTTCAACAGTACAAAAAATCCTACATGTCTTTATTGTACGGTTGCAAGATCTTTATTTGGTGGTGACTTAGTGGTTTCAGTATCAAGGCTTTGTTATTGGGTTGTTTAGCTTGTTAAGTAGTTGCATTTCTGATATTGATCCTATGTAACAAGTAACTCCATCAGTGGACTAAAGCTTTGAACAGTATCGTAAAGTAAATATTTCTGTTAATCTGAAATAGTAACAAAAATCTATTTGTGTAGTGTGACGGCATCGAGTATGATCACAAATCCAGCACAGAGGCTCTGTCATGTGTCCTCGAGAACACCGCTGTGCATGTAAAGCTCACTGCTCATCCATGTGTGAGTTATTTTAACAAATGCTACACACCTGAAGCGTTACCCCCTTCAAAGCGTGTAACGTTTAGTTACAGCAGACCTTCCCAAAGTGTGGGGCGCAGAGCCATTGCAGGGGGGGCGCGGTATGAAAGGGGGGGACACTTGGACACTGCTAGCACGGGGCGCCCACACAAATGCAAAGCAGGAGATGAAGCATCGCTGGATATGTTTCCAAACCAACTTCATTCTAAGCCAAAGACTAGAAAATATGAAAATATGGTGAAGCAAATCTGCCCTTTGGCTTCACCTGCACAGGTGCAGAGGTAGGTCTCCCTGCAGGGTTGGTTTTCCCTGCGTTGGGAGCAGCGCTGGGCTCTTCAAATCACGGACAAACAGGATCCCACATCCTTGATTTTTAGTTCACAAACACTTGTTGTAATGACTAACTGCTCCTGACATGTTGGAGATGTTTGCTCTGTATACAGTAAAGTTACAGGGGGATACAAATAACATCAGGCTGATCCTGACACGATTTGTTCCCTCGGTTCAAATCACGGACAAACAGGATCCCACAGCTGTTTATGTTTTTAACCCATTTTGAACAGAGAGGCATTTTTGAAAAAAGCAATGAAGCAAAGGTGAAAAATAATAAAAAAAAAAAAAAAACAAGGACAGTAAAATAATCACACGGTGACGCCTCTGCCTTTGTAAATGGAGGGACAGTAACAGCGTGTAAACCTGCAGACAGTCAGATTAACAGTATTTTGTCTCTATCATTCTGCGATTCATCTCCTGTAAACAGTAACGTGGCCACAGCGTGACGTGAAAAAGGCACATACCTTTGACCGTGCGTGACCAACTCTGAATTTCGGTAAAATGTACAAATTTATACCTGCTGATAAGAAAAAAAAAGGACAAAAATGGGCAAAAACTGGGTAAAAGTTCTGTTGTTATTCATTTAATGTTCCCCAATACATGCAGCATCCATATAACGTTGATTTCACCTGGTTTCAAACAGTGATGTTGCATTTTATCACTGACAGACTCTCTGCTTGACCAAAACACCAAATTCCCAAATAGACAAACATTTTCTTTCATGTTTACACCGAGTTTGTGCTGCGCTGCGATACTGACGTTACTCACTGCTAGTTCTGATTAAAATGTGTTATTATTGGGATCAGTCGTCTGTAGACGAACCCCGGCATCGGCCAGTTTTCCAGATGATTCCCTATTGTTAGTATTATTTAATAACTCATAACGTATTATTATTTAAAGCTAACTCAGCTACTTGTAAGAGCTTATCTGGATGTCTGTGAAATCCAGAGATGGAATCAAACGCAGCACAATGGTAACCGTACTCAATGTGTAAACACATTTAAAAAGGCTAAAAGTTAACCTGATCTTCAGTTTCTTCATGTTTTTGGTGGGTCTGAGGAAAAGTACATCACAGCGGTGTTTCCTGTCACACTGAGCTGCCGTACGCTAATGTTTGCAACACAAAAACGATTCAGTACAGATTAGTACGCACATGAATGATGTATTTCTCTCAGTGCTGGATTAGCTATGCACAGAGATCCTGAAAACTGATTCTGCATTTCTGTGTTTTCTCTGTTTCAGACTGGGACTAGTTTCCATGTGTTTGACCAGGGTCGCTTTGCTAAGGAGGTTTTGCCCAAATATTTTAAACACAACAACATGGCAAGCTTCGTCCGGCAACTCAACATGTGTGAGTTTCTCCTCTCCTCTCCTCTCCTCTCCTCTCCTCTCCTCTCCTCTCCTCTCCTCTTCACTCTCCATTTATTTATCAGTCCTACTTTTTGCTTATAGATGGTTTTCGTAAGGTGGTAAACATCGAGCAGAGTGGTTTGGTGAAACCTGAGAGAGACGATACAGAGTTCCAACATCTGTACTTCCTCCAGGGACATGAGCACATGCTGGAACACATCAAAAGAAAGGTATGGATGCAGATAGGAGCAATGTCTCTGAAGGAGTTCTTCATTATGCTAAATTGTTTGTTTTCCTTCATAAAAATTATTAAGATCCAGTCCAGATGCTTTTCTTTTCAAGCTCCTTAGACGACGCTTCTATCAAAGCCAATAACAGTGTGGTGCTTTGACCAAAGTCCAAGACCTTGCTATTGGTCCAGTTAGGTGAAGCTGCACGTTTAGAGAGGGTTTTGCACAAAATATATTATTTCCCTCTTACAAAAAGACATCTGAGAAACAGATTTCTTTTTATATCAGTCTGTAACAAACCATCTCCCTCAGCTCTGGACATCCAGTGACAACATCATACTTCAAGAGTTCAGGCGCACCTTTTTTCACTGAACACTGTTCAAATTTTCACATAAAGGAGATTTAAAAACGTGACATGAAAACACAGCACTGGTGTAGTTTGTGGACATGAACTACCATTCATGTAAAACGTCCGTAGAACTGTAGTTTTTCTGTTGTCATAAATTAATTCTATGCCAAAGTTCTTATGATTTATCTTAACATATAATTCAAATCATTCAAAAATGAGAAATGTGATTTTTCCTTTGCATTTGTGGGAAAGTGAGAAAAATGGACCCGATATTGATGCTTGATAATTGCTGGAGTTATTCATCATTTGAGGTGTTTTTACCTGAACACACAACATCGATGTTAGTTTGGAAATGAGTTACCCAGAATGCATCATGTTTTCAGGTGTCCATAGTGAAGAGTGAAGAGACTAAAGTTCGTCAGGAGGACCTCAGTAAGCTGCTGTACGAAGTCCAGCTTCTCAGGACACAACAGGACAACATGGAGTGTCAGATGCAGGACATGAAGCAGTGAGTACAGGACGTGTGTGTCTGTGTGTCTGTGTGTGTCTGTGTGGGTCTGTGTGGGTCTGTGTGGGCTGTGTGTCTGTGTGTGTCTGTGTGTGTGTGTGTCTGTGTGTGGTCTGTGTGGGTCTGTGTGGGTCTGTTGTGGTCTTGTGTTGTGGTCTGTGTGGTCTGTGTGGTCTGTGTGATCTGTGTGGTCTGTGTGGTCTGTGTGTCTGTGTGGTCTGTGTGGGTCTGTGTGGTCTGTGTGTCTGTGTGGTCTGTGTGGGTCTGTGTGTCTGTGTGCTGTGTGTCTGTGTGTCTCTGTGTGTCTGTGTGTGTCTGTGTGTGTGTGTTGTGTGTCTGTGTGTGTCTGTGTGCTGTTGTGTTGTGTGTGTGTCTGTGTTGTGTGTGTGTGTGTGTCTGTGTGTGTCTGTGTGTGTCTGTGTGTGTCTGTGGTCTGTGTGTGTGTGTGTCTGTGTGTGTGTTGTGTGTCTGTGTGTGTCTGTGTGTGTGTGTTGTGTGTGTGTGTGTGTGTGTGTCTGTGTGTGCGTGCGTCTGTGTGTGTGTGGTTGTGTCTGTGGTTGTGTGGTGTGTGTGTGTGTGTGTGTCTGTGTGTGTGTGTGTTGTGTGTGTGTGTGTGTCTCTGTGTGTGTCCGTGTGTGTAGGTCTGTGTAGGTCTGTGTGGGTCTGTGTGGTCTGTGTGGTCTGTGTGTGTCTGTGTGTGTCTGTGTGTGTCTGTGGTCTGTGTGGGTCTGTGGTGTGTCTGTGTGTCTGTGTGGGTCTGTGTGGTCTGCTGTGCTGTGTTGGTCTGTGTGGTCTGTGTGTCTTGTGTGTCGGTGTCTGTGTGTCTGTGTGTGTCTGTGTTGAGGTCTGTGTGTCTGTGTGTCTTGTTGTGTGTGCTGTGTGTCTGTGTGTCGTTTTGTGTGTGTGTGTGTGTCTGTGTGTGTCTGTGTGTGTCTGTGTGTCTGTGGCTGTGTGGTCTGTGTGGTCTGTGTGTCTGTGTGTGTCTGTCTGTGTGTGCTGTGTGTGTCTGTGTGCTGTGTGGTGTGTGCTGGTCGGTGTTGTGTTGTGTGCTGTGTGTCTGTGTGTGTGTCTTGTGGTCTGTGGTCTGTGTGGTCTGTGTGTTCTGTGTGGTCTGTGTGTGGTCGTTGTGTGTGTCTGTGTGGGTCGTTTGTGTGGTCTGTGTGTCTGTGTGGGCTGTGTGCTGTCTGTGGGGTGGGTGTGTTGTCTTTGTGTCTGTGTGTGTCTGTGTGGTCTGTCTGTTGTGTGTGTGTCTGTGTGTGTGTGTGTCTGTCTGTGTGTGTGTGTCTGATGTTTGTCTGTGTGTGTCTGTCGTGTGCTGAGTCTTGTCGGTTTGTCTGTGCTGTGGTCTGTGTTGTGTGGTCTTGTGGTCTGTGTGTCTGTGTCTGTGTGGGTCTGTGTGTCTGTGTGTGTCTGTGTGTCTTTTGTCTGTGTGGTCTGTGTCTGTGGGTCTGTTGTGTGTCTGTTGTGTGTGTCGTTGCTGTGGTGTCGGTGTTGTGCTACTGTTTGTGTGTGTGCTCTGTGTGGGTCATGTGCTGCTGGTCTGTGCGGGCTGTGTGGTCTTTGTGTGTGGGTCTTGGTGTGCATCGTGGCTGTGTTGCGTGTCTAGTGTCTTGTGGGCTCTGTGTGTCGTTGCTGTTGTGGTCTGTCGTGTGTCTGTGTGTGGTCGTGTGTGTGTGTGTGTGTGTGTGGTGTGTGTGTGTTGTGTGTGTCTTGTGTGTCTGTGTGTGTCTGTGTGTGTCTGTGTGGGTCTGTGTGTCTGTGTGTCTGTGGTCTTGTGTCTGTGTGTGTCTGTGTGTGTGTGTGTCTGTGTGAGTTGTGTGCGTGGGTCTGTGTGTCTGTGTGAGTCTGTGTGTGAGTCTGTGTGTGTGTGCGTGTGAGTCTCTCTGTTGTGTCTGTGTGTGTGTCTGTGTGTGTGTGTGTGTGTGTCTGTGTGTGTCTGTGTCTCTGAGTCTGTGTGTGTCTGTGTGTCTGTGTGTGTCAGTGTGAGTCTGTGTGTGTCTGTGTGTGCGCGTCTGAGTGTGCGTCTGTGTGTGCGTCTGTGTGTGCGTCTGTGTGTGCGTCTGTGTGCGCGTGTGTGTGCGGTGTGTGTGTGTGTGTTTGTGTGTGTGTGCTGTGTGTCTGTGTGTGTGTGAGTGTGTGTCTGTGTGTGTGTGTCTGTGTGTGTGTGTGTCTGTGTGTCTGTGTGTGTATGTGTGTGTGTGTCGTGTGTCGTGTGTGTGTGTGTGTGTGTGTGCTGTCTGTGTGTGTGTGTGTGTGTGTGTGTGTGTGTCTGTGTGTGTCTGTGTGTGTGTGTGTGTGTGTGTGTGTCTGTGTGGGTCTGTGTGTCTGTGTGTGTCTGTGTGGGTCTGTGTGGGTCTGTGTGGGTCTGTGTGTGTCTGTGTGGGTCTGTGCGAACTGATATCACAAGTCCCGCCCCTTCTTGATTTTGATTTGTCATTGTCACAGAGGCGACACTGTTTCAAAAGTTCAACAGATTTTTAGGTAAAAGGAATTTTAGTGCAGCAGAAAATAAAAACACTCAACTTCAGACGATTCGCACAAACGTGCTGAAAAAAGTTCCCTTTGACTCAAAGCCTGAAGTTTCAGACACACGTTTCAGTCCAGTGTGAACTGGAGCATCAGACGTTCTGCAAAATCACTTTGTTTATTTTACTGTAGGTGCAAAAACTACATTTGTAGATTATTACAGTCATAAACACGTGTAAGCACAGAAACGTTTAAGAGTTTATTGAAATTTGAATGTGAATTACTGTGATTGTGGAAGAGTGTTGTGCTGTTCTCTGGAAGAATATAAGCACAGTCTTTCATATTAACTAACAATTATTAAAGCGTAGACACCTAAATAAAAACAGTTAGCCCTTTTGGATCGCTGTGATCCTGTTTTTATTTATTTTAACATTTTAACCTCTGAGGGAGCTGAAAAGTATGATGTGTGTGTGGAGCCCAGAAACGTGACTGACGCTGGTTCGGCTGCATAAAGTGTCCTTGTTCAGTTTTACACTGGCAGAGAAACGACGTCCTTCCTGACTCTTCTGTCTCCTTGAAAAAATATTTCCCATTTTTCTAGTTAAAAACATTTTTTTTATTTGTCCTCTGAACTTATTTTTGGTCAAATAAATACAGCCATGCTACAGCGATGTCCGCTCGTGGTCATCTGACCCACACACTCACACATTGCTGGCCCATGTTGAAGAAAGGGATTGTGTCAGAGCAGCAGCTAACCTGTGTTTTGTTTCTCTTGCTAAGTAGATGACCTCACTTTTTTTCTACACACTATTGTTACTGAACAGAGCTGCTGTGCCTGTTGTGTGGCTGCTTTGTGCTCCGTATTGTTTGTTAATGAGAGAAGAGAATGTTCACCTGCTCACCTGACTAACACACACACACACACACACACACACACATCAGTAACCACTGGTAATCTTCTCAGAAAGGTGAGCACACGTGAACACAGGTGCGTGCATATGTATGTGAGCAATGGTGTGGACATCCATCACAGAAAGTCAGTGTGTCAGCAGGTGGATGATGAAGATCATCGCTGTGTGTTTATGTCACATTTAGACGCCATTGCTTCCTTTAGATACCCTGCACACATTTCCACATTGAGGGAAATTTGGGATTTAACCAACACAACTATTTAAACTTTTCTTCTTTTGCACATCAACAAAACAAAGACAGAATCTTCATTTCCTCAGGGTGGATTGTTTTTAGGCAAACGGAGGAAAAGACAGCTAATAGAGTCATAAATACATTATAGAGATTGCACAGATTGCTGTGCACTGATGCCTGACAGGTTAAATGAAACACTGCTTGTGCCTGAAGCACGCATGCTCGTGAGATTAACCTGAATGAACCTAAAGTAGTGAAAAAAACCTACATGGAAGAATCGACTGTGCTCTGTTCTTTGCATCACATCGAAACCCAGTTTTTAACTCTGCTTATTAAAAACGTAATTAGTCTATAAACAGGTGGCTATAACAAAACGTTCAGGTCGTACTTGTAATGTTTCGCATTGGTTCTGCTCGTTCCGCCTTTCTGATCTCTGCAGTGTTTCCCCTCCGTTTGCAGGCAGAATGAGGTGCTGTGGCGGGAGGTGGTGTCACTGAGACAGAACCACACGCAGCAACAGAAAGTCATGAACAAGGTCAGTCTATGGGTACACATGATGCATTTATATGTTTATGTAAAACACAAATACAAAAGTAAGTAATGAAAGTTTTTGCCTTCACGTTTGACTCACGCTTCTGTATTTCACATGTATCTTCCACTCTAAAGGAATAAACACTGAACAAATACTTCAAAGCTATATTTCGGTGATGTTACCGTTTCTTTCTGTTATCGCTGAGCTTCCAGCATCTTTGTAACTGATGAAACCTGCCAGAGGTCGGCAGCAGGAGTATAATTTTCCTTCCAGACGTTATTCAAACCACACAGTGGATGTTTGTTCTCTGTGGGTTCGTCGCTGTGGTGGAAAGTAAATGAAGTTCTTTTCACAGCTAAGGTGATTTATGTATAAATTTGTGAGACGTTTGAATGCAGGACCGACGGCACTTGTATCACAGTGTTTTACAGTATTTCTTTTGAACTTTTTGTTTTAGAGTTGAAGGTAAATGTTCTGGCGTCATAAAGCATTGTTTCCTTTGCTTTTATAGAGTGCTGTTTTAACACCGTCAGCTAGCTTACTGGATTGTTACTTGAAGCATCAGCACTTTTGCTGCATGTCTGATTCACAAAAAGATGAATCAGTTTATAAAGTGAAAATGTTCAGACCATCAGACCTGAGAAACACAAAGGTTCATCGTCTGAAGATGTGAGCGGGGAGGTTAGGGCTCGTGTCTCTCAGTTTCCTGTTCTGTTTATATCTGAAGGTGAAAAATGAGAGTTGGTGATGTTTTCCTGTGTGAGCTGCTGATTCACACATGCTTGTTCTGTCTTTGCCAGCTGATTCAGTTTCTGTTCAGCCAGATGCAGTCCAACACACCCAGCACTGTGGGCCTAAAGAGAAAGCTGTGAGTAGACACACACCTACACACACAGAGCCGTGCACAAACACACACGGGCGCACAGTAGAGCAATCAACAAAAGTGAGACAAACAGGGCCACAGTGGGGCAGAGGGAAGGGCTGGCTCAGCTGACAAACTGAATAATCGAACTCAACAAGCGATGTGAATGGAGACAAGTGCTGAATCAGTCAGTCAGACACAAACACACACACAGTGAAGGCAGAGCAGGGTGCGCGACCCTGCACGACAGGCTGTGTGTAAAATGCTGGTTCAGCTTTGTTACTGAGAGTGAACGAGGCCGACGTGAGAAAGCAACGGCACGCCGCAACACAAAAGTGCCAAAAAATGTGTATTTCTGGGTCGGGAAGAATTCAGATGTATGCTTTGCAGAAATGTGTGTCTTTTTTTCATACACTTCCACAATCTGGGTTTTGTGTCCTAGTTCATCTACTCTCACTGCAAGTTTCCTTGCTCCAAAATTAACCTTTTAAAAAAGCTTCGAGCTCATTTCTGCATGGGTCTTAACATGTGCATGTAGCATGTAGCATGTACAGTCTAGCATGTTTGCCATCGTACTTTCAGTGTTAGCATGTAAACTGAAGCACAGATTCCTTGGATGGTCTGTATCACCACAGACAAGCATGCAGTTTGTTGGTTAATCCATTAAAAACATTCCACATGCACACCACAGAGGTCCAGTTTAATGATTTAAAACAGTGGAGGTGGGGTCTAGCACACCACTGGCTGCTGCCAGCTGAATTTGCCCTTCAGTGCTGAGATTATTATCCGTGGATATAAAGCACACACACACACAACCATGTGTTTGCTGCATGGACTTGTTGATTAATAAATACAAAACCGAAGGAGCACATGAGCTCTTGAAAGACTGAATCTTGTGACTCGGCATTGTTAATTACATGAAGCCGTGTAACAAACACGGATCGAAAAGAACTGTAGCATTCAGCAGGTTTCAGTGTAAACACCACAGACAAACAGACGTCTGCTCCAGTCACACCAATTAACCATTTGTTAATTAGTACATTGGTGATCATTGTGCGTAGCTGATATTACTACTGTTTTATAACTTAGTGAAACAATAACGCTTCCTCCAGGCCTCTGATGTTGGACGATGGCTCTCCCAGCCCTCCTGCCTCCAAGTTCAGCCATAGTCACCAGATGGAAGCCATCCACGAGCCCTTCTACATCCAGTCGGTGAGAACGACACACCTCAAGTCTGGTTTTCAGTTTGTTGAAAGTACCGTGTGGACACATTTTACTGGGAACTATAATTAATAATCTGCTGTGCTGCTGCTGACCTTCCACATTCAGCACAAACAGCGCTGGTAGCAACATGCAGTCAAATCAGCTCTGAGGTAAACAGCTGGCCTTCCTAAGTGCTCGGCTATGTGCGATTCTAAAATGACCTTTAAAACCAACTGATCGAGTACATACACACTTCCCAATACTGATGAATCTAAATGTAGAACCATGACAGCTACTGTGTTAAATCATAATTTATTATACAGATGAGGACAGAATCATTAGCACCTCTGATACTAATAATGAATCATATCATTTTTGCTGGATAATAGATTCTATTCTTTTGTTGTAGGTTTTGGCAACTCGCACCTACATCGCCTGAAATATCACAGCCCATTCTTCTTTGGCTAATCTCTCAGGCTTCTCCATGTTTGATGGTCTCTTCTTGCATTTACCTCAGTCTGAAGGACTTCAGTGGGATTTAAATCAGTGCATTGTGCAAGCCATTCGATAACATTCACTTTGGCCTTCTGGAGTTAGTTCTTCACTGTGGAGTGCTTGAGGTTTTCTTTCAAAATCTTCTGTTATCTTTCCCGACTCCCCACAGCTGTGTGTCACTGTGGGAATGGTGTCCTTAGGGTTGTCTAAGGAGCTTGGGAAGAAAAGCATCTGGAGATGCTTGAAGACGTTTCACCTCTCATGGTGGAGAGTCCCAGATTTAAGCCCTGTGGGAGTGTTCCCCCAAGAGGGTCATGGACCCCCTATTGATCCTCTACCTAATCCCACGAGCCAAGGTGTGAAACTGGGCGTGGGTCGCAATCAGCCAGGGTTTCAGGTGAACCCGCTGTGAGACTTAGCCCCACCCTGTCATGTGATTTCCTGAGGTCAGATGGCCCAGGATGTGAGTGGTGGTTAAGGCGTCTGGGAAGGATCTCAAAACTGGATTATAGATGGCAGACAGCTGGTGTCGTAAGCCCCGCCCTCTGTTCAAAGATGGTGGTTCACAGTGGGCATAGATGCTTCTTTCACTCCTCTTTCAAACCATCTGTCCTCTCTGTCTAAGATGTGAACACTGGCGTCCTCAAAAGAGTGACCTTTGACCTTTAGATGCAGATGGACCACTGAGTCTTGTCCAGTCGAGGTGGCTCTTCAAACAGGAGAGGCCTCTTCAGATATAAGTAGTGTTTCTAGCCAAAGAGCTCTAGTTTTGTCTTATCTGACCAAAGTCTTCTGGCTTGAAGACGTCTCTTCTGAAGAAGTGGAGTTTTGTTCCTGTGCAGGCTTCTCGTGATTATCTTCTTTGAGACTTCAGTTCCCAACTCGGCCAAGTCATTCACCGGTGTCTCGGTCGTTCTTCTGCTATCTGTAAACACATCTCTCACTAGTTTCCTTCTTTGAAATCTTTTGCTTCCTACCTCTGACAGACTGGCTCTTTACTGTCCAGCTTTCTTTGATGAAACTTCTCACTCCAGTTCATGATACTTGGAATGATAACTTTGGATCCATCTCCTATTTTATGAACATCAACAATTATTTTTTTTCCATTTTAGACAAGCATGTTTATAACTGATGCACTTTTTAACCTTTAATAGGAGGGGTTAATCATTTTGTCCTCATCTGTTTGAATACATATCCTTTAACACTCCGGCGCCATCAATCCAGCTGTTACAGTACGTCACCACTAGGGGGAAGCAATGTGCAGTGACAGATTTAGGGGGCCACCGATGTGCTTCACTGCAGTCCGAGGTCAAACACATGAGTCTGTAAAGGACTGTTACATACAGGCTCTGCTGCAAAGGCAACAATCACAGAAGTGTTGAAGTTGAAAAAAGGTCTAAACGAGTCCAACGAAATTCTGACTTCAACTGTTTTCAGGAACCAAAAGCATTTATGTGGGCTCACAACCAGATATGTTTGAACAGATTCTAGGTTGTGTGTTGTTTTGTTTCTTTAACTAAATACAAGCATCCTGAAAATCGTCAACTTCATTGGTGCTAAATTTATTAGAGCAAAGTGCATCACAGTCCTCTCCTCTTTGCCCTCAGCCATCCAGTGATACTGCTTCCTGCTCTGCTAGCGGACTTGCAGGAGGACCGATTATATCCGATGTTACTGATATGTCTCAGGCGAGCATGGCTCTGCAGATGCAGCCTGATGAGACTAGGTAGGAGATCCATGTGTGACTTTCTTGGCTCACTATTAAAAGCTACTTTTAACACACAACGTGTGACTCTGCTTGTAGGGAGAAGTGCATGATGCTGATCAAAGAGGAGCCTGTGAGTCCAGGGGTACGAGGGGGAGGAAAAGGAAGCAGTGTACCGGGAGGAGAGGCTGTAGCGTTGACCTCCCCCTGTGAGGTGTGCTCCTCTGAACCACCTGTCCTTCCTGTTGCAATGGTCCAATCTGTTCTGGAGGGGAGGGGCTCTGTAGGCTCCATGCTGGAGAGGAGGAGCAAGAGACCTGCTCTGGAGAGGTAGGTGCTCACAGGTGGACGAAGTCATGGAAAATGTAATGCAACAGAAAAGTACTGTGAGGTGTATGAATTGTATAACACATCCTCCATGTGTGTGTGCAGAGCTGAGGTTGCAGACACAGTGGAGAATGTGGACATGAGTCTGGAGGAGCTGCAGCATCTGCTTCTTAGGAGCCATCAGCAGAACGCTGTGGAAGCTGGGACCAGTGCTGTCATGGATGTCAGTAGATATTTGCGACATCAGGCTGACCGATGTCAGTTTGATGATTATTAGGGATGGGTATCGTTTAGGTTTTATCCGATACCAGTACCAAACCGGTACTTTTGAAACGGTGCCGGTGCTTAAACGGTGCTTAAACGGTGCTTAAAGAATCAAGAACACCAACTTTGTCCAAAAACCTCTCATGTTTAACTGTTTTCCACTTTTTCTTTGGTCATTTTAGCCTTTTTGGCCAGGGTGAAGGGAGTATCTGCCATCAAACAAGAAGACAGCCGCATGTAGCTATGATGGTGTTTGCTAGTTCACCTTACATGCATTAATGTAATAACGTGGTTAGCCTACTCAACGTAAATTACACACGAACAACATGAAGCTACTCACGCAGAGAAGAACGGCTGCTGCTGCATCATCATCCTCATCATTTCTGCTACACTGGCAGGGCTAGGGGCCAGGACTCTCCTCTTCGGGTTCTTGGGGGATGTTGCTAACTCCGGGTCCGATAACAGGCACCACACCCGCAGTAGATGTGCTCGGTGTGAGGTCTCGCAGCAAGCTATCAAATACGGCGCATTTCTCGGCTTTTAAAAAACGCTATGCGTCGCCAGGTGTTTCATCAGATTTGAGGTGTTACCTCCTTTGACAGTATCACAGTATCAGCTTAAAGCACTTGTTGCTGCTGAGTTTGCATCTTTTGCTGTGAAGTACAGCCAGACTTTGACCGCTTCACCTTGGGCGTTTTTATAAGAACGTACGTACCCAGGCCCGCCTACTACGCTCGCAAAGGTAAAATGATTGGCTAGAATCCAAAGTGTATGACATCTCAGTAAAAAAAAAAAAGCAGAAATGAAGCACCGAAATGTGCGCTGCTTTTCGGTCTGGTTACTAAAGTTTATGTCAGCACCCGGTACCCATCCCTAATGATTATAGACAGCAGCCAGCGGAGTGTATTATTGTATTCATATCATTATGCTTCTTCCCCCCTGTTTCTTCTAGCCTTTCAGTCTAAGTCTGCCTCTGACTGAGTGGAACTTCACAGAGATGGAGTCCAACCTCAAACCAGTAAGTTTAGTCATGTGACTCTCAAAGCTTTAGTCACTGGGAGGTAAACCAGCTCAATAATATTGAAAAGACCCAACAATCCCCTACGAGCAAGCACGTGGCGATGATGGAGAGACTTTCATCTTCTATTTTATTTCCAGTTTCAGTAACATTAAATTCAATGTTCATCTGATTCTTAGACATTTTTCCGCACAGCAACACAAGTCCTTCAGTTTCACTACGAGGATGTGCATCCGTGTGAAAACACTGATCAGATACAAAGTGAATGCTGTAACAGGATCAGTCACATCAGTGCAGTGTGAAAAAGCCCCAGCAGGTGGAGCTTTACTACAGCAGCTCCATACTGCTCTGTGACAGAGACACTTAAGGAAGCAGAATGTGACTCTGATACAAACTCCAGATGTTTTTATACCGTTCACCTCGTGGGAAGCTCTCACTACCAGCAGCTGCAGGAGGACAAAATATTCTTCTTACAGCCTCATATTCACTGGAGTTTAGTGATGTTATGTATGAGACCTCTCCACCTTTGAGGATCTTTGAGAGTCTTCTGCAGATCTCCTCCTGATTGGTTGATCCCATGAGCTGGCCTATTGATGTGTCACCTGCTGATTGGTTCCTGTGAACATTTTAAAAACACTGGTTCCTGCTCAGCCTCCAGTCAGTGATGATGAACTGACTCTGACACCGGAGCTCCCCAGTCTCTTATTTTGTAAAGCATCTCAGCCTTTCCTGTGGTGCCAGCACTCTTGTGTGGGGGTAAAAATGAGTGTGTTCAGACCCTGTAGCACAAAGTTTCTCTCCTCTCAAGCCTTGGGGTTCTCATCAATCAGTCACCATGATACTTTGGAATGATCTACAGCAGCAGGGGAAACCTGCTCGTGAGTCTGCTGGAGTTGAAACTTCTTTTGAAGTAAATAAACATAATTTGTCCATGCACTGCAGACCAACCCAACTCTGGCTAAATGTCTGCTGCCAGCTCAAGCAGTGAAGGTTTTGGGAACACTTTGGAAGGCTGTGCCTTTTCTGGCTTTCTCCTCGGTCACTATTGTTGGAGTTTCTTCAGTCAGATTTTCCCCCACTTTCGTGCCTCAGAGGTGCAGCCCTCTTTCTCGATACATCGTCACCAACATCTGGCTTTTTAAAAACCCCACTTTGAGAGATCTGCATTTTTAAAAAATAGCCTTGAAGAATGGTCACATGGTAACCTAGTGCCATGAAATGTTGATCTGAAGTCAAAGGAGCTTGCAAAGAAAAGCGTCTGGACTTCTTTAAGTTGCTCTTGAAGACGTTTCACCTTCATCCGAGAAGCTTCTTCAGTTCTAAGGTCAAATGGTGGAGAGTCCCAGATTTAAACCTAGTGGGAGTTTCCCCCCACAGAGGGACAAAGGACCCCCTGATGATCCTCTACCTAATCACCTGAGCCTAGGTGTGAAAGTGGGTGTGGGTCCCAATCAGCCAGAGTTTCAGGTGAGCTCGTTGTGAAACCTGGCCCCACCTTATCATGTGAATTCCTGAGATCAGATGGCCCAGGATGTGATCCTGTGTCGCCACATTGTTATATCTGCCATCCTATATTTCACATGTACAGCACAGGTGGCTTCAGATACCCCCCCCAGTCATGTTGACTGAAGACACAAAGACAAGCTGTGGAGCCCTGCTAGTTCTTTCAGTCCATGTTCAACAACGCACGACCGTTTAATACAACTGTTACTTTAACTTGTGGTCTGAGTCTTAATTCATTCTTCATCCTGCTTCTGTTCCTCTTCAATTTAGATGAGAACACTTGATTGTTGATATTTTCTCTGTGTGATTGTAGAGTCTTTACCTAACAGTATAAAATGCATCGAGGTGGTTGTTGTAAATAAAATTGAGCTGAGATTATTCAGTAATTATAAATACATAAAATTCAGAGTTTTGTATGAAGAACACATAAAGTGTGATTTGGTGTATTTTGGATGTTTTAAAGCCACTAAAATTACAACCTTTTATTAAATGTTCAAAGCTCCCTTTAGTGCCACGTTTGTTCATAATCTTTTCTGTTCCCAGCATTTACAGCCTTAGTGTTTATTAGCATAGATATTTCATAACAACATGAATGAGTGAATGATTTATTAGCTCATACTGAGTTTTGTACAGTGCAGTCCTCACATATTTGTTGTGTAAACAAATTGTTTGATATAATATGAAACGTTTCTGTTGGGGTTTATTTTAACGTGTGCATGTTTATTTTCACAGTACATGTTCCAGAACCAGGAAGTCGAGGCTTTTCCAGCCGCTGGCTGTGAAGAACAGTGAATTTGTGCCGTGAATAGTCCTTTCTGAGGCGAAAGGTAACAGTCTCTTGTTTAAGACTAATGTCAATGCAGCTTCATATCTTCAGACTAATCGAACTATCAAACAAATGCATTTCTTTGTGCACGAATGCAGGACTGTTTTTTACAGTGTTGTCACGTCACGAAGAAATGATTCAATCAGCGTATTTCTCACATCAGCCACAAACCACACGCGTGCTTCATCTGACCGAATCGTATTCGTTTAGCTGCTGGAAAGTGTTTTGGTAACTTTTTGTGATTTAAATAGACTTTTTGCCCGTACACAATGAGACACAGCTTCTCATTGTTCGTTCATAGATCCCCCTGGTATTACACTGAAAATAAACATTGTAATGTATTAACAGATATAAAAATCGTGACACAGCTCCTCGCTGCTCGCACACAGCAGACCTGCTCTCTGATTCCTGTTCAGGTTTGCCATCGTGTGGTCAGAATCAGACTTCATAGGTTCAGAAGTCTTTGGATGACGAGAACATTTTAGCTTCTGTGTATCGACCTCGGGCAGCACGGTGGCACGGTGGTTAGCACTGTTGCCGCACAGCAACAAGGTCCTGAGTTCAATTCCACCATCAGGCCGGGGTCTTTCTGTGTGGAGTTTGCATGTTCTCCCCGTGTTTGCGTGGGTTCTCTCCAAAGACATGCAGCTTGTGGTGATAGGTTAATTGATTAATCCAAATTGTCACTAGGTGTGAGTGTGAATGGTTGTCTGTCCCTGTGTGTTGGCCCTGCGACAGACTGGCGACCTGTCCAGGGTGTACCCTGCCTTTTGCCCTATGACAGCTGGGATAGGCTCCAGCGCCCCCCGCGACCCTGAAAAGGATAAGCGGAAGCAAATGGATGTATCGACCTCGTAGATCGTTAGTTAAGCAACCTGGGACTGAGGGGGCGGCTGAATCCTTGGTTTGGGCTCAGGAGGAGACTCACGTTGCTTTGGGATGTGTCAGGGAGGAAGTTTAAGAATCTGCTGCATCAGATCTGTGGAGGTACCTGCTATGGTGACCTCTTGAAAGTATAAATAGTTGTTGTCACTTTTAAATAAAATGAGTGGCTTTAATGCTTGCATGAATGAAACCGTTATTATAAAGACATCACTTGACCCACATGTCCAAACTCCTGAAAGAGTAGCTGATCGCAGCACAGAAACAGCTTTAGTGAAGGTTACAGCTGATACTCTTAGAGCCTGCTAGACCTCAGTTTGACACCTCAAACCTTTATATTTTATTACAGAGATTAGCATGCTGTAGGCTTTAAATGTACTGTGTGCAGCGGATGAACCAAATCTCTTTAATGTGCTCCAATTTTTAATATAAATGGGGAGTCTTCTTCACATATTAAGGTTAATTATGGGGTTCCAGTGGGCTCTGCGCCGGGGCCGGCCCTGTTTACATTATACATGCTTCCCTCAGGCAGTATCATCAGCATACATTTTCATTGCTGCTCAGATGATACCCAGCCAGAAACAGAGAGCATATTTCTCCCATATTGACTTCCTGTTAAATCTGGAACTGAATTTAAAATCCTTGAATAATCAGATTGGCCCTTATGCCAAAGACTTCGCAGCACCACATCAGAACAGAGCTCCTCGCTCTCAGACCGCTTCTGGTTCGTTTAAAGGAGAACGGGCGGCAGAGCTTTCAGCGTTCAGGCTGCTGTTCTATAAAACTAGACGTTTTTTGTAATGTAAAGGTTTGTAACCTCATCTGCATTATTTTTAATAAGAAAATGAACGTGATGCCACACCGATGACTGAAAACTGTGTCCTCAGTTTCTGACGCTCCTTTCTCCTGTTTGTGTCTGCAGGTCACAGACGCTGCTGTTACGCTTTGTACTCCAGTGGGCACCAGTTTGAGCCCCAGGCCCTGCCAGGCTATTTCCTACACGTGACTTTGATTTTATTCTTTATACATCCACATGCCTACAACAGAAAAAGGTCTCTGCAGTCTTTTTGATCAAAGCTTTTACTTCCTGGTTTTTTGACTTCATCGGATCTATCAGCTGTCTGCTCTGTGGGCGTGAACGATACCCACATGGCGAAAAAAGATGTTAGTGACTATGATTTTCACAGTTAACCAATCACAGAAGAGCATTACGACAGCCTTACATCTAGACTCTGATATTAAGCCGGATGGATGCAGACGGTGCATTCTTGGCTCCTGCACTTTAGTCTTTGTGTGAGAGGGAGTTCCTGCTTGGAGAGGTGACTTTTTCTTCCTATAAAGATTTCACGACAGATGAATATTTTTTATTAGTTTATCCTTATTAAGAATATGATGTATTTGTATCAAAGAAGAAACTTTGGCAGATTTTATGTGATTTTCTCAGTCTGTGTAGGAGTGTAGATTTTGAGGTATACTTTAGGCATTTGAAAAAAAGCATATACTTCAGAGAGATAAGCGTGTTAGCGTTTCTATCAAGCTGTGTTAAAATCCATAAAGAAGGCTCTCTGAAATCTATTGCAGTAGAAGGTAACACCCATCTTTGCACAGTCCCAACGTGAAGCCTGGGATTCGATTCTTTCTCTTCTGTCTGATTTAAGTGTTAAGTTTTAATAGACAGATTCTCATTTGACAAAATCTACACTGGACACTACGGCATATTTGCACAATCGGTATATCTAGTCATTTATCTCTAGTTACAACAGTGGGTCATTGATTTCCTGTTTGTAAATAGCCAGCACTGGGTTGCTCAGTAAATGAATGACAGCATTTTTAAACCGTAATCTTTCATCTTGGAGACGAGTGGTCACACAGTGTTGCTGCACTTGTATCTGTGCTCAGTGCTACACATGCATAAAAACCAAAGTCAGGACAGGGGGCTACGCCAAAACCACAAGGAGAAGAAGAATTCGTCAGCTGTCCAGGAGCCGGTGTTTACTTTCACTTTGTTTCACTGAATGTACGGTGGGGTGATTACTTGATAATTGAATCTTTTACCTGCTTGAAGGAATGCGTCTTATTTACTCTGGATAACGACAGTTTATTAATGATTATGCCGTTGGACATCGAATATTAGTCCTCACCACTGTTTGGAGGCAGTAGATGAACTTGAATTGTGCAATACTGTACAGAACTGTGAGAAACTGCAATGACCATAGGAATGTAGAGAGCAGCAGCTGTAAGTGGTGGACTGGAAAGCACCATAGAAAGATGCACTGCAGAAGGATAATGTTAGCTTGTGAGCCTAAAAGCCCCGCTATTCATACAGAGTCTGACAAAAGCTTCAAATTTTAGTAGCATTAGTGAGGAGGTCAGCTGCAGCACTGCCTGCAGCAAGGCCACGACCAACATCGTGCTGCATCGTGTAGCCGCGCCTCAGTACCTCGGCGCTTAACCAAAATCACGACTTGTGCAGAAAATCTGCAGCTTTTGCCCACAATGTGAAGCTGACCATCATGGTTTTTTCCCCATATATACATATATATGTATGTATATATGTTTTTTTTACATACACAAACATATACACTTGCAGGCTAACATTTGATTATTTCATTCTCCATGCAGCTTTTGGAAAAGGGACGGAAAGCAAGTTGTGGTGTAAACAAATGAAATTGCACTAAAAATGACAGTTGTATGATATTTGAGAGTACACAGTACATTTTAGACATAGCATTTATTTGTGTTCCTCATAATAAATATGAGTGTAATTACTTTTTTCCAAGGAGTGATGAATACATGCATTCAGCTGCTGTTGTGTTCTTAATTTATTCCGTTTTCCACTTTTAATCATTTGCACTGGAAATGATCAAACTGTGTGTTCAGATGACATTATGCCTGTCGGGATTGCAGACAGATAAATAAGTATTGATGTTCAACGAGTGAAAAGATCTCTGCTGTAACAAAGCCTGGCATCCAAAAGCACCTCTGCACACTGAATGGACTCTAAGAAATGTGCATAGAAACACACATCACGTATATTAAAGCAGAAAATCCTGTCGACACCGGCTGTCAGTGAAGACAAAGACATGATCTCAGTGCTTAGATGCTTTTGAAAGTGGGCCGCTGAAAATGTGAATTGTTTTAAATGGATTTTTATTTTTAAAGAATAAAGTGTATCGTTACAGGGAGTCAAAGAAACTGAACATGTATTCCACCTGTGTGTGAAATATTTAAATGGATACTCCAAATAAAAATTCATAATAAACAAATTATCTATTTGAAGGATTCATCAGAATGTGTTAAACTGTATTTATTCTGTTTTATGTAAACAGCTAACAGGAGCATGCTAAGTTAGCTTGTTAGCTAGCTTTTATCTAAAGCAGGGTGACCAACCGTCCTCTTTTCCCCGGACATGTCCTCTTTTCACGTTCTGTCCGGGGGGATTTTCGAGATTGATAAAAATGTCCGGGTTTTCCTATATTCTGACAGAGGACCCATGTGTGTGACGTCATCCCCAATCTGCTGCTTTGTGAGCACGTTCTGCGCTCACAGACTAGTGATGGGATTTCCGGCTCTTTTTAGAGGGAAACTTATCTCACTACAACGTAGTGCCGAAAACATGACTCGCAGCTCGACACAGCTACTGTAACATAAGACTAACATCCAGCTAACCACAGCTAAAAGATATTTAGAGAAAACTTACTCAGGTTACACGAGCGGAGTTGTTGCACGCTGAAAAGTTGGTTTGTTTTGGCTCTCACTGAAGACACTGCAGACACAGCTGTTCTTTTGTGCTGCTTTTAAGCGAAACATCCTTTGTATGTGAGGCCAAGGCTGTTCATCCTCTTCAGCTCTAGCGTAGACGACTGGCTCTGCCATGTTTTCATGTTTCTTCTTTACGTGTGTCGCTACTTTGAAACGCTTGGGCCGCTCTGCCCGCCACAGTTTCAAACTGGTCATGTGACTGCATGGCCACATCTGATTGGTAAAAAAGTTACCGGAAACTCCACTGGCGGCATGTTATCTAATGTGTTAAACTAATTATTTTTTCAAAGAGTAACGAGTCGAATTTTGCAAATGTAGCGGAGTAAAAGTACCGTTTCTTCTTCACAAATGTATTTAAGTAAAAAGTATCGTGCAAAAAAAGGTACTTTAAAAGTACATTTTTTTTCAAAAACTTACTCAAGTAAATGTAACGGAGTAAATGTAACTCGTTACTACCCACCTCTGCCTGCAGTCTATCTGGATCAGATATAAACCAAGTTTAGGTGGAGGATATTCTCATTGTGCTGACTTTTTGCAGTCAGTTACAATAACTCGTACTGCGTGCTAGCTAGCATGACGGAGTTTCTATACAGCTGGGTGGTGCTATGATGTTACTGATAGTGAACTTTATTTTATTCATAAGATTATTAGAGTTGCCAACCTTCCGGTAAAAAGAAAAAAAAAGCTGAAAAGGAACAGTTTGTCCCGGACTTCAGCTAGAATGAAAAAAAGACACAAAGCTGGAGTTTTTCTGTCGTTATGCTGTCAGCTGTTTCTTCTTCTCTCATTCTCCCCCCTCCCTCTCCTGTTGCTCCTTCAATCATGAAACTGATCAATGATCAGCTGATCGGCTTTTCTCTCTTCTTTGTTTATCACCCACTTTGCGCCAGAAAGAGGAAACCAGCGGATGTCGCGCTAAACAACAGCAGCACGTTTAAGCTTGATCAGCTGTTGTTAGAATTTATTTAATATTAATTTCTAGTATCAGCTGATGTTTGCTGGAGCCACAGCTGTAAAGCTGCTGGTCATAATGGTTTGGATATGTGGTGAGAGGGAAACATGAAGATGAAACCAGGAGATGTCCTTACTGGATCATCAGAGCTGAACAGGTGATGGAGAAACAGGTTTACCTTTTAGGTGACATGGATGAGTTGAAGTTATGAACTGTTTCTGAGAGACAAATAACACCAGGATCCTTTTTTAGGTAGCTGACAGCTGGTAACTGTGCAGGGGCGGGTCTAGCAAAGTGTTGCCAGGGGGGCAGGTAGGGCATTAACAGGGAGAGGGGGGCACAAAGAAATACTTTTCTTTCTTATTCTCATTTAAAATGTCTATCTTTTAAAAAATAATTATCTGAATTTTACAACCAAAATTTTCATCTGACATTCAATGTATAGAAATCACACATATACCAACAAGACTGTGCATCACTGTCACAACAGCGTCTGTTTTCATTCAAAGGCTTTATAGCTTTAATACCTGGGGGGCCGGTCTCTAGTCAAAATGCCCGGGCCCATTTTTTGTTTCTTTAAGCAAGTTCTTCATGACTGAGCCAAGTGTCCTCTCTTTTGGAAATCAAAATATGGTCACCCTAATCTAAAGTAATCAGATTCCCAGATTTGTTTATTTACTTTTTTATTATTAGTTTTAATTTGATAACCTTTTCAGATTCTGGTGCAGCAAAACTCAAAGACAAACAGGGCCATCATTTTGGGCTCCACACTTTAATTCTCCATGCTAGCCCTAGCACTGCGCACACATGCATCAATATTGTGTTTAGATAATACAGTGTAAGTGTTTTTAATGATAATGTCATTAGATCTTTTTTTTGGCACCTTACACCTGTCAAAGTGACCGTGTGGAGTGGAAAAGTAGTGAAGGAAACGTGCCTTTTATTGATGCCAGAAAACAGAAAATGAACCGAACACGAAAAACCAGATAAATGAGAAACTAATTTTAAAAAACCTAAACTGGGAAAACTAAACACATGAAAACCAGGAACACCTGAGACACGGAAGCAACAAACAGAGGAAGGCACAGGGCTGAAATAAGACCCAGGAGGAGAGCACAGCCGAGAGCAATCACAAGCAAGGAAACCCGGGGGAAGCACTTAAAACACTGAACACGAGACTATCAAAGTAAAACAGGAACATGAGACGAGCACAGAGGCAGAATTCAGGAGACAAGAAAGTAAATAACAGTGAAATTAAAGACTATTAATAATTCAAAATACGAAGCACAGGGTCACCCACGCAGGACATACCTCTATAAATCTATAACATGGTATAAACAGATTTTTTACTGCTTAAACACATTTATTTAAAACATTAATTATATCCATTTTAAACAAAGACACTAAAGCGTCTGTGTGCTGAGACCTCGTGGAGCACAAACAGCTTTTATGATTAAGCCGATTTACGTACTGAAAGCTCTCTGCGCCTGCAGCAATCATAGTGCAGAGAAACTACTCTGTTTGTGTGGGTTACAATGGTAATGTATTATTATTATTACAAAAGGAAAATACATTTCCCATGAGGCCTTTTGCATTCACACATTTATATACATGTGGGGCTGGCTCAGTGTCAGCAACGAGGTTTGATCCGTTTGGCCTGGCAGCAGGTTTTAGGGTAGGATGCACAAAGGGTCTCCCTGCACCAAATACAGGTTGGTTACGTAATTTCCTTAGGGATTAATAAAGTATTCTGATTCTGAAGAAATAACACAAATACATCATTTTCTGTTAGAAATAAAGCTAACTAACGTTAGGAAACTCAAGCAGTTTGTTATGAGCTGCCTCTTTTTTCTTTTTTGAAACAAACTTCACACTTCAGAGCCGTCCTGCAGTCTTACCGCTCAGCATCCGTTACAGGAAATTGAGCTATACAAGGCTGATATTATGCCCCTTGAGGTTGGGTTGACCATTAAAAAATCATCTACTGGATTGTGTGGAGGCATTTGGGGGAATTCTGCTGTCACACTCTGCACGTAGTGTCCGCCCTGTAAGAACCGAAAAAACTGAGCTGCAGCTACGCCAAATTTGGTGGATATTTGAGAGAAACTTACAAATTGTCCATCTTCATTTAAGTCTGCAAAGGATTTTAGGCCCTTTCTATGCCAGATATGAAAAGCATTATCTGCCACTGAGGGAACAAATAGGTGGTTTGCTGCAACTGGGCTTTGAAGTGAGAAAGCCCGGAGACCCAGACTCTTCCTAAACTGAGACCAGATTCTAAGAGATTGCTGGACAACTCTATTGTTACTGGGTAGAGGCAATGCCAAAGGGAGTGATGAACCTAAGGTCGCAGGTAGAGAAATTTTCCCACTTGAGTATGACTCCATGGCAACCCAAACTGGTTGTGACGGTTCGAGATGGTAGTGTCTCCAATACAACAAACACCTGATATTGGCGGCCCAATAATAGTACTGGAAATTAGGGAGGCCTAAACCTCCAACCGGCTTGGGCCTTTGAAGAATAGATTTCTTCAATTTGGGAGGTTTACCATTCCAAATAAATGAAGTGATTAGTGAGTCTAGAGATTTAAAAAATGATTTTGGAATCAGGATAGGGAGGCATTGAAAAACATATAAGAATATAAGTACAAAATATTTATGACCACGATTTGAGCCCGTACACACCCTGCCACCCTCGGCTCCACCTGCAGATTCTGGCCAATAAAAAGTTATGAACTATAATCTGCACTTTAAAAACTGCAAACTTGAAAAGCTCTTAGCTCTTTTCTTTAGACAGACCTTGAAATGTGCAGTATTCGTTTTGCAGGCTGACAGACACCAGATCGATGCAGATACATATTCCTGAAGGACGTACACAGAGTCATCAAGAGGAAAAGCATTTTGGATTCCCTCCCAAAGATAAAAACAAGTTTGTTTATATATATTGAAAATAATCTGTATTGATATCTCTGTAAATTAACAGTAATAATGAATACTGCAAAAAGTCAAGAATGACTTCATTACATTACACATGTGTGTGTGCGTGCATGTGATGGTCTTGCTGCACGTCTCTTGTGCTTCCTTGCTGAGCTGTGACAAAATGAGAACCTGAAAAATAACCTGCTTCACTTACGTAACAGCAAAACTCTCAAATTATTTTTAGCCTCGAGCTGAATTTTGGATTTTTTTAAAATATAAAACTGTTTTACACTGAAACGTAAAAAGGTCCTCGTTGGCTGTATGAACAGGAGGAACATATGGTGCTTTAAATGCTTGTATGAGTTTATATGTTTCCTTAAATGTAATAGCGAGTATTAAAACACTGCTTTAGTACTATAAATGGGAGTAATTACATCAATTTGGATTTCAAACTGAGTCATCAGCAGTCACTGAAAAGTTTGTCATTAAAATATGAATTGCCTTTATTTTATCTTCGCACTATAACTCTGTACGCTCCTCCTGCTGCAGCCACAGAAAGAGTCTGGAGCATTTTAAAAACAGATATGAGCTGAGCTCGCCGCCATTACCAGGAACACACACTGGCTG